TCTCTCTCTCCCTGTTCCTTGTTTTGGCTCTTCGATTATTTTTTCCAATTCAATTCCAAAGTCAGGTGAATTCCCATTTCCCCTCTGTTTTCATTTTGCTAAGAAACCCTAGATTCATATCTAGTTTGCCAATTTTAATATAAAACCCTAACTTTTCTCGTTTTCTGCTTTTCCTTTCCGATTTTTGAAGCATTTCACCCAAAGGAAAAACCTTAACTCGTCAAATTTCGATTCTTCAATTGCTACAAGATGCCGGCCACCGCAGGGAGGGTTCGGATGCCCGCGAACAACCGGGTGCATAGTAGCGCCGCGCTACAAACCCACGGGATTTGGCAAAGTGCAATAGGTTACGACCCGTATGCGCCCAATAAAGATGATTCCAAAAATTCATCGAATCATACGGCCGCCAGTGCTGAACCTGAAGGCGAAAACGCCTACGCTAGCTTTCAAGGGCTTTTAGCACTTGCCCGAATCACCGGGTCGAATGCTGATGAGGCTCGTGGAGCTTGTAAAAGGTGTGGACGTGTTGGGCACCTTACTTTTCAGTGTAAGAATTTCGTGAGTTTGAAGGAGGAGGAGAAAGACCCCGAAGCGATTCAGGCTGCGGTTTTGAATGGATTGGATAAGTTGAAAGGAGGGAAAGTGAATGGGAAGGTGGAGGTGGAGAGTGAGGAGGAGGAAGATGAGAGTGAGAGTTCAGATTCTGATGAGGATTCGGAGATTGAGAAGATTATTGCTCGAAGATACGGGAAGAAGGTTAGTGGTAAAGGGAAGACGTTGTCGAAGAAGAAAAAGACTGATGACGATGATGGGTCGGATTCAGATTATGGAGAGAGAAAGAAGAGAGGGCGGTCAAAGAAAAGGAGTGGTAGGAAGAGAGGAAGTAGCAATTCAGATGATGAGAATGAAAGTAGGAGGAAGAGGAGGAAAGAGAAGAGGAGGAAGAGGGATGCATCTTCGGATGAGGATGATGAGCATCGTCGCCATAGGAAGCGAAAGAGTAGGAAGGAGAAGAGGAGAAGGAGAAGTCATAGGTCTTCTGATGATTCTGAGTCATCGGATGTCTCGGATGATCATGGTAAACGGCATAGGAGGAAGAGCCAAAGGAACAAATCCCCTTCTGATTCTGATGTTAGTTGTTCGGATGATTCTCGGGTTGGAAGGGGTACAAAGAGGTCTGAGGAGAGGAGCAGGAAACGCCGCCACGAAGATGATGAGTAGAAGCTTGTTAGCAAAGGTAATGAATGTTCTCAATCCCTTTTTTAAAACTGTACTATGATCCTAGTTTGATTCTACTTTGTCTGAGCGTTTTTCCTGCTATTACTCGTGCACTATGTGTAAGAGAATATACTTAATCTTTTTAAGGTGCATTATTTATGTAATTTTTTTTCACCTTTTTGTTTTCTTGAAAGTGATTGTGTACGTGGTAAAAGTAATTCATGTTGGCTCCAGTTTATGAAGAATTAGATTATGGTAGCTTTAGTGCTATTGGTTCATTGAAGATTATTTGTTCAGTGGTTTTAGCATGAATGATTTCACAGTTGCACACCAGTCTTGGTGTGCTTCTGTTCCTTGGGATTTTAAAAAAATATATATGTAAAGAAAGTAAGTAAATAAAAGAGATAAAGAAAACAAACTGTTTGATGGAGGCTCTACTATACTGATATGAAAAAATGAATGTGGAATTTTACTTTTGGAGATCTATGAGCCAGCATGCGTATGTTAAAAGTGCCTTGGAACAAGTTTAAGGGATTGATTTTCTTTGGTTTTTCATCTCTACTTCCAACAGCCTCCTAATTTATGTTCGTCTTGGCATTGGTAACATCAATGACTCTCTGCCACCTCTCCTCTCACATCTCTAGATCCTTGCGGAGCTTCTTCTCTAATACATTTCCTCTAGTTCCCCTTAATTGCCTTCTTTCCTAGGGTCAGAAGCTTTCGTTGCATCAAAATAACCTTGTGGAAGTCACTGCTAACTGTGCTGGCATGAAATTCTTGTGGAAAAATTTATAGCTTAGCATGTAGTTTTCTTGTTTTTCCTGTTAAATCCTATAAAGTGTTTTACTTGCCAGATAAGGTAAATGCCTTAATAATCTTTGTTCTCATCATTGTTATTGTACTTGATTCATACTACTGCAATGAGTTGCATTTCAATTTTTCTTTAAAGTGAGATATGTGTCACTTTTGAAAGGGATTCCTCAGTTTCTTACATTCTGCAATTGTCAATTTTGTAGGGATCCAGAGGAGTGGATATGAAGTTTGTGCCAGAAGTTGTTAATGTTTTGGAGGGGAAGATTGTTCAAGTTATTTGTTATTTTGTGTATGGTTGCGAAAATGTTGTGGTTATCCTTTGAAACCAAAAAAAAAAGAGGAGGACAAAAGACAAAAAGGATGAAAAACAATTTGTGAGTTAATTTTTGTCGTGTGTTTAGCTTCCCTGTGAATAAAGCTGACTTGTTCAATTATGGGCGATTGCTTGTCGTTGCTACGAGATGTGCCTATCCTTGCACCTTTTACTTATATTCAATTACTCTTTCCTTTTTGTAGAGCCACCGGGGAGAGTTTTGAGGCAGTTAAGCAGTAAGAGATTTAGAGTTTGAACATAAATTAGAATTCAACATAACTTCTTCAAAAGAATGAAGATTATACAATGTCTACAGTGCCTAATTATTTGGATAATGAGGTGATTGGAGCTTTTTCCCCAGTAATAAATAATGCTGGGAGATCACTGGTGAGTTTAAGAAAGTCGGGGGCAGCTGTTTATTAAAAGATTGGGATGAAACCTCTCAAGCTAAGCCATCCTACGATATGGCAATACACATCCGCATGGGAGCCAAGTCTTGAGATAAAAGTTATAAGAGAAATAAAGTTATTTCACTTTTAACTCATTTAAGTATCAAGGTGAATGAACCATCTTTCACAACAAATACCTATTCAATCATATTCAATTTCTTAAGAAGAAATCAACAATAATAAATTCTTTCATGAACAACAATTGTCAACCCCCAGCAATATCTTGCCTTTGATCTGGGGAAGGAGAAGCCTATTTATGCAAAAGGAAAATTCTAAATTAAAGGCAGAAATGTTTCGAGCTCCGTTCATGGTTGTTTATTAGCTTTAATCTTGTGTTGCAGCCTGCGAGTTAAGCTCTGCAAACCTTAGGCCTACACGCATTGAGTGCTTCAAGAACTTCTCAGCACATCGCATGACACAGGTCTCCTCTTGTTTCTGCAGAGTCTTGCGGGTAAAGTTGTCCACACAGTCATTGAAGCATCTCTCAACAAGTGAATTGTACATTCTCAGACTGGACGTCAAATTAAAAGAAATAATTAGAACAATAGACACCTCCTTACCAGTAAGGTAACAGGTATGATCAAAAGCACTGATTAACTAGCAAAAGGCTTCTTCTGGTTGACTAAAGGGAATGGATCATTTAAGCGGTATGAAAAGAAATTTACAAAGCCTTCCAAATCAAAAGCACTAACTAAATAAAATAACTAGATCAATATAATATGGAGGTTATTTGAACCCCTCCCCCCTCTTTGCTTTCTGCACTCTCTGTTGTACCTCTGTTCCTGAGAGGATATATTACTCTATGTAAATTGTTTTGCTAAAAATATCCAGACGAAACCTGGATGCTACAATTGCCTTCATGCCCGTTGATGATGTAAAACGGGCATTTTCCTGTGTGTTAAAAAAGCCCATAATTCTTTAAACCATCACTCTGTGACCCAACCCCAGGTTTGCATTACCATAAAGTGCAGAAACAAATGAATCCATTGTGGTATCATAAGCACTTTCAGAAAAAGAAACTGATAAAATCAATAAATTTCATCTTTATGCAAGGAAAATGCTAATTTTGATTTGGGAATCTAAAAGATCAGCAACGACTAACTAAAAGAGCAAGTTAACACAAAAGAACAATTAAGGGGTAGCTACAATCCAAGTGAAGAAGTGTGTCAACCACCATACTCAATCCAATAAATGCAAATACAATAAAATGCTGGCACAATACTAGCGAAAGCATCTAAAAGGGGCTCTAAATTATAGAAATGTAGTTCCCAAAACGTCCAGAGGCAACATAAAAAGGCTGCACTGGTTTTAAGGAGAACATCTCTTTCGCTTCTCATCAAATACATAGCAACAAGACCCAGATGTGAAATGGGTAACCTGCATTATCTAAAATCTGAGAAGCAAACCCATAAACAAAAATTTATAAAAAAAAAAACCCCAAAAATTATAAACCCCTAATAAGCTGAACACATTTCCTAAATCTAAAATTCTTAATTAATTCAGAAATCTCAGTTGCATCAGTTTGGATTCAGGAATCAGGCAATAAGCGAAATTACGGAAAAGAGAGTAAAATCACCTGTCACGAAACTGGAGGTGGTCAATCATGGCGGACATTCGGATCTTATCTTCTTCAGGGAGACCCTCGAGCCCGGCTAACATGTTCTTGTCCATACTGGATCCTTCCTTTTCCAATCCAACTTCTTTTTTAGGTTTTCTCTTTTTGTTCTTTTGAAAGGAGATGAGTAGGGTTTATGGAAACACGAAAGGGCTTAACTTTCTGTTCTTTATAGTAAGAGAGAAACCCTAGGAATCTGCAGATCAGAAGGGCGTCGTTCCAAGCCTTTAATGGCCCGTAATTTGACAATTCGGTTTTGCACTGGCCCGGTTTATAATGGTGAATTTGGACTCATCTGGTTCGATAGGGACATTTGTTCATCCGCCCAAAGCCCAAATGGGCAATTTTTCCCCGAACAGCCATGGTATGACATTGGAAAATGAGTGGGACAATTTTTTTTAACTTTCAAAAATAAGACGTTTTTGAAAATTATTTTGTTTTAATTTTAATTGTTTTTAGTTAAAAAAAATATTTCTAAACAAAATTAACTCAAACCATACCTCTTCATATTCATGTGTTGAAAAAATATTGCTACATATCATGACGAAAAAAGAATTATTACACATCATTTTTTTCTTATGATTACAATAAATGAAATAAACAAAATAATCCAAATGCTAATTATCCAAATTGGGGAATTTTGGATAATATTTTTGTATCCCAATCCATTTTATCCCAATAGTAAAATTGACTTAAATAATTTTTCAATACATCTTTAATTTCATGTCAAATTCTTTATTGATTTTAAACTTTTTCTCCATCTTCAAAATATTTAACTTTAAGAGTTTATATCCTACTGAAATATAAAGATAGAAAACAAGTTATATGTTATATTTAAAAATGTTGTTATCACATGTTATGTTCAAAAAATTATTGTTACAGTTAAAAAAGAAGTTGTTACACATTTTAACTTTAAAAGTTTATATTGTGATGAAATATAAAGAAGCAACTTACACACATGTTTAATAACAGAAAAAAAAAATAAAACAACGCTACAAGCTTCAACAGTAAATATTACACACCAAAACTTCAACAATAAATGTTATATGCCAAAATCAAAGTTTCAACAACAGATGTTGCATACCAAGATCAATGCTTTACACGCTAAAGGTTAGTATTAGATATTACATGTCAAAACTTCTTTCTTCCTATTAATATTAGATGTCAAGACATAAATCACAAATGTTACATGCCAAAATCAAAGCTTTACACGCCCGATGTTAACACTAGATATTGCATGTCAAAACTTTCTTCTTCCTACCAATGCTACACGTTAAGGCATAAATTATTTTATTACACACCAAAGCATGTTCTCCGAGACTTGAATCACTAAAAAACTAAACACCAATAAACCTAACAATGCCATACTTTGTAATTTGTAAATCAACGATAATATGACGAGAGATAAATAGAGAGAGGGCTTTTGTGAATGTAAACTAATCAATTCAAGAATATGTTGTTACCTTCTATGTTATGCAGTAGATCATATGGCCAGATGACAAAAGATGGATAGAGAGATAATGATTATGATAAAATTACAAAGAGCTGAATAGCAAAAAACAAAAAAATAGGAAGCACAGCGGACAATGACAAGAGAGAAATTAAAATGGAAAGCATTTAATTTGTTTGAAATAATTTTAAAAGTATTTTTATCATTTAATAACTAAAATTAAGTAAAAACAATTAATTTTATATTAAAAACTGATTCTAAAATCACAACTAACCAAATTAAAATATTTCATAACACAGTGACTTGCAGTTAAGATGGTATACTAGCAAATCACAACTAAGTGACTTTGTAGTTTAGATTGCATTTTATGTGGGGAAAGATGTGAAAGAGTGTTTCACCACCACCACCTCTACCATCAAAAGAATCACCGGAACCTTCCTTCATCCCTCTTCCTACACTTGACCCCCGTATTGATGATTATCACCTTCATCTTGTAAGTGTCATGTAAGCAAAATCAAAATCAACCACAAATATTGATGATATTGAAACTGGGACAAGAAGCGAACAAAAGCAGCAGCAGCAGCGATGGCATCAGGTAGTCATAGAAAGTATTCCAAACTGTTTAATATGATAAAATTCAACAGGAATTACCAGTCCAAGTTGCAGAAACTGTTCTATATGTATGCTTAGAGAATTTGCAAGATGGAGAAAAGAATGGGATTTTCACCAGATGCAACCATATGTATCATAAACACTGTATTGATCAGTGGCTGCGGAGGAATGAACGCTGCCCTCTTTGTCGTGGTCCTGTTCGTAGTACACAAAATGGCTAAGTGATTAACAACTACAATAACCTTTTAACGGGCATGTCAATATATTTTCCTTGCTTTTCTTTTTCTTCCAATGGAATCATCCCGAAAACTTAAATTTAACTTTGATTTAGATAATACAATATATGGACAATCTTTGTTAATTAGTTATGAAGGAAATTAATGACCAAATTGTTTGCAATGACCAAATTGTTTGCAATATCAATGAAAGATCAGTACATAGCTAAACCATGCTTGCCATGCCAAGAGATAGAGAATCAGGTTTGCATCTGTTATTGGAGTATACAAAAATGTTGAAAGTAACAATTTTGACTCGTAAACTTATATGTAGTAATATACTGAGCGGCATTAAGAAGCAAATGTGAGGTTAGGTTAGGGGATGATCTAGTTTAACTATTGGCTCGTGATCATTATTTTTCAATCCAATTTGGTACACATTATATTCCAACTTAAAGTAAAAGAAACTTAAATTCAAACTATATATATACGTCTTCTCTCTTTGATGGCAAGAAGTGCCTAATAGAAATATTAAATGTTAACTAATAATTTGACAATGATTATATATTAATAATTTACCAATTGACATGCTTGTCACATAGATCTCAATATCTATTAACTAACGCAAGTTAAAGATTTAATTTTGATAAGAGTCCTGTTCCAACCCTAATTAATGCGCCACATTAGTTACAATTTACATTTGAGTTGGTTTCTGATGAATCCTTTTAGTGATTCAATTTAAATAAAAGTTATATTTCAGAAGCTGCAATATATATATATATGAAACAGATGAATAGAAGACGAATGCATATCGAATCCATATATAT